GCTTATAGTCATACACAAGACGAGAATTGCTTTTTGTACGACTAAAGCCTTGAGCCTCCTGTAAATATTTTTAACTATCCAAATGTGATCGTTCAATCGTTACTTCTCTTCTTTCAAAGATATAAAAACAACAGAGAATGAAAATATAAAAATATAAAAAATTAACGCACACTTTACACATTTAATACAAATATGTATATAAATATAAAAATTTTTACGAAGCTTTAGCCTTTCATTTTTAAGAATAAAATTATAATATGTTTTTACCAAATTTTCTAATACATTTTTATCCCATTTTAATTGTTTGATAGGACTTGAATCTTTGCTCTTCCATTTGTTACTTCCACTTGTGCTTGGTTGTGATTCCGATCCATTTTTAACTTGTTCGTTAAACTTTGCTTGTATTTTTTCTGCTTTACTATTTCCAGGTTTAATCTATAAAATAATTTGTATATTATAATGCAGAATATGCAGATTACTTAATACATCATTTTATTAAAACAAAAAAATTTGTGAGCGCGAGCGTGATATGGTAGACAGCGCACTGGTCTATCATGCCAGAGGTCCCAGGTTCGACTGTATGTCCCATATGCTCGTGGCAATTGAATAATCAGCGTGTGCACCACGAGCATATGAGAGAGATGTAACACAACCCAGAGGCCTAACGTAAGAAAAAAAAAACTTGTACGCCAAAGTATTACAAAATACCTTGGAACTAGTTATGGTTGGATGAGATAAATCATCCTCCCAATTATTAATTGTTGAAGCTAAAGCTGCTAATCTATCAAGTCTAGCGCCTCTCTTAACTGGTTTACAATCGTCGCTTTCTTCTGCAGTAAATTTTTCTTCTGTTCGATGTATAGGTGAACTTAATTCCTGATTGTTATCATCTGTCAAAGGAAAAAATATTAATTCTTTTTTTTATCCATAAATATAAATATTAAAAATAATTAATTTATCTATACAAACATCAATAAACATTAATCTATACAAACATCAATAAATTCTTTTAAACAAATTTTTATATTATATTTAGACGCATAAAAAAATTTAATATAATAAAATTTTTTAATGTGAACTGTAATATAATTCTTCAAAAAAAGTTTGAAACATAGAACGAAAAAGCATAATCATGTATGTTATATACATGCTGTGTGTATTCAGACATAAACATACTCATGTACAAGTGTTAGAAACAAGTTTTGAAAGCTTGTGTGGGAGTGCTCTGTATGAATCGTGTGGGAGTAACCGAACGGAGAGATTCAGAGTAATATTTAAGCTTATATTATTCATGCAAAAGAGTTAGGACTTTAACTTAAAGTTCAGTACAATGTTCAATACTTTATTTTGAAATGTTGCTTACCAGAATATAATTTTCCAAGTCTGTGTAATTTGGATCGCATATTATGAATTTGAAAGTCACTATTCTCCTTGTTTTCTTGTTCATTATTCGGAGATGCGATGTTACTTATAGGAGATTTACGAGGAGACTTGGTAGGAGAAAATGCACTAACTGCAACTGCTTGGATTGGTGATTTAGCTGAATTTTCATTTGCTACTGTTAAATAAGATATTTCTTTTAACAAACAAGAAACTAACAGCTACAGATTTTATTTTAATTTATTTCAAACATATTTTTAACTGACTATTAAAATTTCATATATAAACGCTATAAAATAAATCCTGGAAATATTACCTGTAGCTTGTTCTAGCAAAGCATTTTTCAAAGGGCTCCGCCTTTTTTTAACATTATGTCCTGCATTTGACAACTTCTCATCCAGTTTCTCTCTCCTGGCTTTAGCTCGTTCCAACATACGCTAGTTGTCAATAATTAATATATGTTATAGATTATATCACAAAAAAAATTTATATTACAAAAACGTTTGTATCATAATCTATATTACAGTATGTAATTCTATCATAATGGTGTTGCGTAAATATTACAGAACATTTACATATTATAGATTTAATAATAAAAATAGTAATCTCAATGATTAATATTATGTCATGCCTGCAGTGACCATATTTTCTTAAAGAAAATGAAGGACAAATCTGAAAATTTTTAACTTTGTTCCTACATGTTTTCAAACCAGTTTGTGACTGTCAAGAACCTGTGCTATAAAAATTGTATTGCACAATATAATTGATTCGACTGTATTGGAACAAATTCTTAATCTGAAATGATAAAAGGTTCAAAATAATAAAAAATGAAAACTAGTTTGAATAAATTTAATTTAAAAAATTAAGAAATATAATTAACAAAAACAAATATATTTATATATATTTATATATTATACACTTTATAATATATTTTTATTATATTATATTTAGGTATTATATGTATATTTTTTTTAAATAAAATAATATTAAAGAGGCCTTTTAATGATACTTTTCTGAAGAATGTATGTTTTTAAATTATGTCATTATTTAAAAAAAAAATCATAAATTTATAAATAATTTATTTCAAAATTGCATTTCATGTAAATGCAAGCTTTAAGTTAAATTTTCTCACACTTAGGAAAGAATTTTCCATACCTAATGTCAAAATAAAGGATGATAAAGGACAATATTAGAAAATAAGGACAAAATTAAGTTTGAAAGAAATAGATCAATCTAAAGAACAGCAACCTAAAATAAAGGACATATGGTCACCATAGTCATGCCTCTCAAAAATAATACGTAAAAATTTTCATTAATTAATAAATAATGAGCAATAAAAGAGAATTTATACATAGATATAAATCGTGAAATACAATCATAACTACGTCACGGTACGTGCTAGTATTCCTCCTATCGTGAGTCTATCTTAGCAACAAGACAAATAAAAAGGCAGGATCCTCACCTGAACGAAGGGCTCCATTGTTTCTTGGCGTGATTATGTGTCCAAAGCTTGTCAGCTCTCGCTCGAAATTTCGTCACGCAATCGCCACCGCTGATACGAATGGTAAAAACCCCTAGAAAGACACCTAACGAAGATCGGAACGATCCTTACGCTCTGCAACAGAACGGGAGTAGCCTTTATTTCCAACCGTTGAATTTAAACGCGAGCGCCATACTGACGGGAAACTACGGGGAGTGGGGAGCTTGGTTGGTGACGCGGTGAGGAAAGGGGAAGTGCGTGGCTACGACGTGGGGGTCACAGGGACTACAACAGACTACAGGGAGTAGGGAGTCGTAGGGGAGCAATGGAGCATAGAGGAGTGGGCGGAATGACAGTTTACTCGCTGATTCCTCCACCCTCCACCTCGATCTCTCGCAGGCTCGCGGCTGATATCACGCAAACGCGTAAAATTCGAAGCGAATGCGTCGAAAAATGCGCGCCAAACGCGGCCTTTCACTTCGCAAACAGACGAAACGAAGATCCGCAAACAATCGTGTAAGATCTGATTCAAATTAATGAATTCACGAATCAGATTCCATATTCAAAACAATAGGATTGTTTCTGTCGTTCTCTAGCAACTTTTTTTTATCAGGGATATATGAGAAGGCTGACTGCAGAATGGACTAAATATTAGATATGACTATCAAGGAGCGTCCTTGAAGCTGGTGTAACGATAACAAACCTTTCTTGTTTCGTGCGAGTCGAGATCGAATTACGAATATCGAAACCAGACCCAAGCTGAACCAAGCTCCATACTGTACACTACCGTATCGTGAACTGTCGCGAACGATGTAAAGAGAGACGCGAAAAAGACGCTGCGTCGCAGTGACGTAGCCACGAATTTCTCCCCGCCCGTTAACAAAGTAATTAAAACGTCCTTCTTTTTACTTTCATGTAAATAAAAAAGGAAATTTTTGAAGAAAAATTAAAATAGAAATTACACGTTTCAATCTGTATAAATGTTCAGTCGGTTAACAAAGAAATTCATATTTCGATGCTGTATAATAAAAACTGATTTTTTTTACAAAGAAAATACACAACGCTCTTTAATAAATAATAAAGCCATTTTGAAAAGAAAAAAGTGAATTTGTTGTAGGCAGACCCAAAGTTGTTAATTGAATTTTTGCAAATGTCGAAATAATAAAACATCGAAAATATATGTTTCATGCTCCAAACCTTTTTCAGGTTCATCAATAAAATGATGGATTGAGAAAAAGTACGCGAAGGATGCATATGCTTCTGAAGAGAATGCTAATTGAAACTTTCAGAGACTAAAGCTCGAAACTTTTTTCTAGAAAGAGAAAACATTAATTTGTTCTTATTCTCCGATTCTTAGGCTGGGGCTCTTTAAGTAGATTACTTCAATTTAATAGTACGCTACTGATACGACTGTGCGACTGATACCACTGACCCTGTGTAGGACCGCTATTTTATTTGTGCGTTTTTTGTTGACAAGTCTGATTAGCTACAAGATAAAGAGATCCAAGAACCTCTTTGTCCTGTACATTTATTGTTATACGGCAGAAACAAATAAAAGAGCACCCTAACCATACGATTTAAAATCATGTAAATGGTCCATAGAAATTTCTCTCGAAATTTCTCGAAACCAAAAAAATTTTAATCAGATTGAGATGTGGCTATTTATTCATAACGATGGTACCTGAAAACTACTTCAATTTAGATGTATTATCGATTCTCACTGATTAATAATGAATCTCCTATTAATTTTATTTTATTGTTTAACGATGAAAATTTTGAGATTTTTTTGAAGGTATTTAACAAGACCATCCACACAAAGTAGATGAAATATAAATATCAGTCTATCTGTTTTGGTTTCTTGACGATAATTTACTAATAATGACTGTATGTATCATTAAATTATTTCTGTATACAATTTAGATTTTATATGGATTTTGAAAAAGACGCTATGAAGTCGAAACATTAATCATATTGTATCTGTAAGAAAATATATATGCTTTAAGCATGTCTACATTCTTATAATGTTTCTCGTAACTGTTGTTTCAAATATTTCTATGTGTATTACTAAGCAAGAAAGCGAGTAATAAGAAATATTAAAAATCAATATAGAATATATTAATTCTAAAATGTTATACATGTGAGACGGTGATTGCCATGTTCTGGCACATAATAAAATATAAAAATTTTGTTACTACAAAATGCGTATCATCACAATATCGTGTTAAACACATTAAGTGTTAATGTCCAGTCGTGCGCTATCTATCTCGGGACGTTTATCTCGTATTCTTGGATGGGAAGTGCTTCGTCATACATGGGACGATTCATCTCCGGTATCAGCCGCCATAGCTTCGCGATTTTCATATGCCCAAAAGCCGTGGAATTCGATCAGGATACTGACCATCGTGTCGCCTTGTCCGCTTTTGCAATTAGAACATTTTAGTTACAATATACCGCATTTTCACACCATGATATATTTAATATCTTCTTACCAAGACAGTAAGTCCTGCAGCGTAATTTTACACGGATCTGCTGGCTTCACCATATCGAATATCTCATCTTTGACATCTTCAAAACTAACGGGCTCTTGACCATGCATTGTCATCTGTTCTTGTATCGCCTACAAAATATTTTAGCGTTTTTTACTTCGTGATTCAGAAACTGTGTAATAAAATTTATATTACAGTAATACATACCCGGAAAAAATAATTCAGACAAAAAGTATCCAAGTAACCACGATTATTAATGTCGAGAATTCGAAAGAGGTAATGAAGACTCTGAGGTTCGTGCCGATTCTCTAATGCTAAAACGAAATCCAAATACGTCTTGTAATCCATCTCGCCTTCATAGGTAAGACATTCTTGAAATACTCGTTCGAGAAAAACACCGGTTAGAGTACCAGTGCCATATCTGTTAACAAAACAATTATATCTTTAACATGTATTAATATAACACTACACGACATAATGTTTTGAGACTTATTACCCAGCGAGTTCCTCTTTATTCAACATTCCATTGTGATCTCTGTCCAGATTAAGATATTGCCCGTAAACTTTAAGGGCCGAAGGCGCAGAGAACCAATTGGCTTCTTGCAAATCTTTCGGCAAATCCTCGTCTCTCAATTCTAGAAGATCGTCCAAAAAGCTACACGCTAAAATATCCTGAATACGAACTCTTCCAGTTCGAAGCGGGTCTAAGAAGAATAAGAATTTCCTGACGGCTGTGCACACGTAAAACGAATGGAAGGACTTTTCCAAGCCTTCAAGTTGTGGCAATGTTGGTATCAGTTCTAAGATGTAATTTTCCAAATCCTGCAAATAAGTGAATGTTAAAAGAGTGTACTATTAAGGTGTATTCATTAGGGTTTCACTTATAAAAATCTAATCTGAGATATTTGGAGAATTAAAAAATAAATGCTGTTTTCTTTATTCAGAAAAAAATTTAAAGTTTTAATGTGTGGCAATTTTGGTTAGTATTCTCTTTGTGATCTCATGTATACTGTATCATTAATATTTTTTTTTCCATGTATATATCTATATTTTTACAACTGAGGAGATGGTATGAAATATTTTGATTTTATTATTTTAACATTCTGTAGAAATCTGTTTCCTATAAAAAGTTGATTCTTTTTTGTAACAATTTTGTATCAAAAAGAGCACATTTCTCTTTACTTGAAATAAAAATATAGTATGCTGTACACACACACACACACAAATAATAAAATATTTTAGATTATAGACTCACCGACTCTCTAAGATAACCCTGTCCAGTAATATCATATAAAGATAGTCCAATCCTTGTTTGATGTAACCAAACTTTTCGCATGACGTAATTGAATAATGCCATTATGCTAATTCTACCATGTAGATCTCCTTGTTGTAGTTTAGCAAAAACAACTGCAGTAAAATACGGACTGCACTTTGCTCCTGCCAGTTTGCCTACTTTCTTAAAGTCCTCATAATTAATTAACTGCTCGTCTCCTGACAAAGGCGGGCTGTGATGTTTGTCCAACAAAACCCAGAGGGCTTTCAATTCATGGTTATCGAGTAATTGTCTAGAACGTCTTTGTAGGAATAAGGCGCGTGTTTCCTCACGTAATTTCTGTGGTAGAATCTCATCTTCTTTCGGCAACTAAAAAAAAAACAGTATTTTTTATAACATATAACAGAAATATACTTCAAAGTCTAAGTCTACAGGATACGAGTAATACCTTGAAATAGAATTTTGGTATGACTTTATAAGTGGAATCATTCTTAGTCTTCACACCCTTCCACTGCTGATACATCTTCTGAAAGTATTTGTCTTCTTTCTTTTCATCTTCTTGAGAATTCTCATCAGCTGTAACAGTATGTCTCATGATATTCAATGAAACAAATAAGCAAGGTATTTTTTTTATTTATAGCTAATTTGGTTATTTGCATTACACTAGATTAGTATATTCTAAAAGCTGCTATACATGAAATTAACAAAGTTAAACGTGAAAGCATATAAATATTTTAACCTTTAAGTGGATAGGTAAGGTGATCATAAAACTCTAGGTACAGAGATTTCTTTAAAATCTTGTTCTTGAAAAGGAAAATAAAAATTATTGTCCAGAAGACTTAAAGTATATTATTTTTACATTCCTCTCATAAGGATATAATTATATGTAATGTAAATTTAATTGTAATATAATAAAAAATATAACTATAAAATTAAAAACTTTTTTGGGATATTCTGAGCATCTCATCTATCAATTTGCGTATCTTTAAATCACCTACCTACTTAAAAGTAGAATGACTAAACATTCATTATTAGCATGTTATTTAGGAATATGCATGTATTATTTCATTGTTAAAGTTTATTATAGCATATTAACCTCATTTATATATATATATCCATATTCATAGTCATGCTTTATATTTAAGGTTTCCTTAAATTTATCTACAGATGCTCTACAACTCATTTTATTAACCACCGAGCATCTAAAGATAAATTTAAGGAAGCCTCAAATATAAGGTCTGACTATGAAAGTATGAATACAGACATTAAATCCTTCATATAAAGCAGTCTTTTATAATATTTACTAATTCAATATAGTGTGAGTGACTGAATTCATCATTAAAAGATGCATATATCATATTTTAGAAGAAATGCTGCTTTTATTAGAAGACAAAGGCATATACGTACATTTCTTTGCTGAAGCGTGGTTCCGTAGTAGCATTTCTAGCTCCATGTTTCTAGCTCGCAAACGTCGTGATTCCACGTACGTGTCTTTTTTTATATAAAGAATTATTGCGCACACCTTCACATCTAGATTGTTTCTTTGACTATTCCCGTGTTATATTATTCTTTCCTTTGCATCAAATTGACGTACTATCTTTAATGTTTGAAGTCTCTTTTGACAGTTCTTGAAATTGGCTTGGTGGGTTTTGTTCCTTTAACTTCTTTTTGAGCTGACACTAGAACTCTGAAACCTGAATATATTATTATTCTCAGATTATTATCCCTAACTTCTTAAAGTTATAAATGATTCTGACTTTTTCCTACTGTTCTGTCTTAACAAGTTCAAAGGCTTGAAGACCCTCTTTCGGTCACTTTGGTTATGTTACGCTGTGTCAACCAGGGGCTGCCAGGGACTGCAAACAGCTGCAAACGGAGAGTTTCGAGGGTTTTCGAGCGTCGCGCACAGTGACGATCGCACGTTTGTCTTCCTTTCGTTCCTGCAATCGAAACGGGAATAACGGGAATAACGGGAGTAACGGGAGACGAGAGTCAGATTTTACATCGCGCGCGATCGTGCGCGCGCGTACAGCTCTTCTACGTGCAGGAGTACGAGCACTACGAGCTCGCGGTGCAGATTTGTAGGTTAGGTTAGGTTAGGTTGACGTCGCGCGGAACAACGCGACCAACGCGATGTTTACAGCGAGCAGCAGCGGGATTATTTTGATTACGTGGCGAACGCGGGGCGCTCGAGCCTCATCACGAGAGACTCGACGTATTGTTGACGTCGTCGAAGACGCGACGATGCACAGTGATGACAGATAAGAGGCCACGGACGGTTAAGCAACAGCGATGATCCTCTTTAGAGTGGGCTCGATTTTCGGTTTCTTGATCCTGGTCAGCGGATTTCGGGAGTACAGTAAGAAGGATCTGATCAGCCTGCGGGAGGAGGTACGATCCATGTTCGATTATGCCTACTCTGGTTACCTGACGCATGCCTATCCGTACGATGAACTGCGCTCGCTGAGTTGCGACGGCTTCGACACGTGGGGCAGCTTCTCCCTAACCTTGATCGATGCCCTGGACACACTCGCGGTTATGGGTAACTTCTCCGAGTTTCGTCGCGTAGCCGAGCTGATCAGCACGAGGACGAACTTCGAGGCCAACATCAATGTGTCGGTGTTCGAGACGAATATCCGGGTGGTTGGTGGGTTGCTGAGCGCACATCTGCTGTCACGTAGAGCCGGCGTCAAGCTGGAACCCGGCTGGCCCTGCAACGGCCCGCTGCTGCGCCTCGCCGAGGACATGGCCAACAGGTTGATCGCCGCGTTTGATACGCCCACGGGAATGCCGTACGGCACGGTTAATCTCAAGTACGGAGTACCGGAAGGTGAGACCAGTATCACGTGCACCGCTGGCATTGGTACCTTCCTGCTGGAATTCGGCACTCTCTCCAGACTGACCGGTGATCCACTGTACGAGGAGGTAGCCATGAATGCTATAAAGGCGCTGCACTACTACAAATCCAGCATCGGCCTAGTCGGTAATCATATAGACGTCCTAACCGGCCACTGGACCGCTCAGGATTCCGGCATAGGCGCCGGAATAGACTCTTACTTCGAGTACCTGGCAAAGGGTACGCTGCTCTTTCAGGATCCCCTGCTGGCCTCGATATTCCAGGAGCATAAGCAGGCTATAGAGAAGTACATTCGTCGAGAAGACTGGCATCTGTGGGTCTCCATGACCAAGGGTCAAGTGACTCTACCAGTCTTTCAATCTCTAGATGCGTATTGGCCCGGCGTGTTGAGTCTCTTCGGCGAGATTAGCGACGCGATGAAATCCTTACACAATTACCATCGCGTGTGGAAACAATTTGGATTCACCCCGGAATTTTACAATATACCACAGGCCGAGGCAGGGACCAACAGGGAGGGCTATCCATTGAGGCCAGAGCTTATAGAATCTGTCATGTATCTTTACAGGGCAACCAGGGATCCGTATTTGATCCAAGTAGGAGTGGACATCCTGAGGAGTCTGCAACACAGCGCGAAAACCACATGTGGTTACGCGACCATCAATGACGTCCGGGACCATCGTAAAGCAGACCGAATGGAATCTTTCTTCCTAGCGGAGACCACCAAGTACCTGTACCTTCTTTTCGATACCGACAACTTTATCCACAATACCGGTTCTGAAGGCGAGATAATCGACACTCAATGGGGCCAGTGTGTGGTGGATGCCGGCGGATATATCTTCAACACTGAAGCTCACCCCATCGATCCTGGTGCTCTCTATTGTTGCCGGCCAGCGCAGGAGATCTTCCCGGAAGAGAGATCGATCCTGAGGAGATTCGTCCCGACGAGAGACGCACTGGTGGACAACGCATCACCGAACGAGCTTTACCCTGAAACGGATGCCACTAGCAAGAATCCGGACGTGTTGCCAATCACGATTACGAAGCTCTCCGAGATCAGGCATTACTCTGCGAGCGAGAAGAAGGACGGTTTCAACGAGAGCGTTTCGTCACCAAACGTCTCGTCAACGGATTCGTCGGATTCCATCGAACATGAAAACGCCAGGGACGAGGAAATTGAAAAATCGAATCGGAGCGAAATCCGATTGTCGACGACGCAGGTCCTTCCGCCCTCGTCGATGATCTACAAGGCCGACGACAGCGACGGTACCGATGGTTCCGATAATTTTGAACCCCCAATATTATCCAACGAACAATACTCTGGTTCTGGACTCGCGACAGAAGGTGGAACACGAAGGAACACCACGCCGAGTCCCGCTAAGGCCAGATTCGAACCACAAATAATGCTGGAGAACATCAGACGTGGGAATCTTTATCCGACCAATGTCACAGCGAGGCAGAACTATCAGATTTTGTCCTGTCAAACTCAACCATTCCTACAACGAATGTCGATCATAGGAGAATTTTTTTAAAAAGAAACGCGCCGCAAAAAAGTCTTTGATACGAATCTCTGTTACGATTCTTAAAGTATTTTTGATTCGCGCGTCTTTGTTATGAGAATGAAATCTACGTGGGCCTGTGTGACTCGCGTACGTTGTACTTTAGAATATATTCCTGTGATATAATTGTTGTTGTATAGTTTCTAACAAATATAAGATATTACAAGCATATGACAGTCTTTTCACACTGGCAATTTTATTTTTTTATTTCAAACGCAAATTTAAAAAAAATAAAGTCATTTAATATTTTATACTGCTATTTGATATTTTATATATGTATAATATAAATAAATTCTTTTTCTCTACATGACTTTCGCAAGAAGTTCTATCAATGTTTAAATTTTATTATTTGTAATTCATTTAACTTTTTATGAGAGAAAATAAAATTTTTACATTTCATAATTGTGAAGTGGTTCAGATCTTGTCATCTCTTCGACGCCAAACATCCAAATTTGTAATATCCTCGAAGAATGTCAAAAATGTACGATGCTCCATGGACACCGAGAGCTTAAGCTATATACAAATTTGGATGCATGACGTTGAAGAGGTGCTGGCTTGAAGACGTTAAGCTTTATTATTGGGTACATCCTGACGACGAATGCAGGAAAAGTCTAGTAGGACGTTTCGACTTGGAAGGTAACTTGAACTTTCGGCTAACATAATTTCTACATTACATTCATGATCTACTTGCATCATATCTACTTGGAGCATGTCTACTTGCATTATGCCCTCAAGTAAAGAGGAGAAGACCTACAGATTTAATGCTGAATTCGAACGGTGCATAAAGGTGCAAGCATCAAGTTTTAAGCAGCAAAGGCAGCAACCAATCAACGAGGTGATTTTTACAGTGTAAAAATATTTTTTACATCACTGCCCGCATCCCAGCTGATTGATTGCTGCTTCCACTGTTTGACGCCTGACGTTTGCATGTGAACGCACCTTAAAGTTAGCCTGCATTAGCTGCATTATGATTGGCTAAAATAGAACCGACAAACAGCAATCGTTGCGCTGGATTCACCCTGCATCCGATTTGCGTCGTACGATGCTCTGCAACCAATCAGAAAACAGGATTCCGATGGATTTTGCTTCGTATCATCGGAATCCTGTTTTCTGATTGGTTGCAGAGCGTCATACGACGCAAATCGGATGCAGGGTGAATCCAACATTAATGCGACCAATGTAGAACGGCCTTTACAGATTGTAATACTGAATGCACCCATTGTGATGGAATAGCGATAGCGATAGAAATAACATGATTTCAACCTATGAGAGATTTGATACGCCGGAATACACAGTTTTTGAAATCGTGTTATTTCTATCGTTATCGCTATTCCCTCGCATTGTGTCTTGGGCTTAACAGACTTATTATTCTTAGAACTTTCTGTTTCTTATATTTTTTAAATGCATTTTGAGAATTTTGAAATTTCTTCTGCAATACCGATCGTACCATATTACCGATAATGGCGACAGTACCTATTAATCAACATGGCGATGAGATTGATCGCTTGTTTTTTTATACAATCGTAAAACGTATGTTTGTCCGTATATATAAATTGTACATATGAGTGAAACGTGTGTAAATGATGTAAATAGTGTAATATTAATATCATAAAAACGATAGAAACTATTTTGCTTGTGTTAGTTTGGATTCGCTTCATCATGGCTGATAAAAGACAGCACAGTTTGTCGGTGAGAATTAAAATGTGTACAAGCGGCTGAAAATTAAATAAAATACAATTTTTGGCTAGTTTTGTAAACGAAAGCATTGCCATATAAATAAATTGCAATAGTACTATTTATTTTGCACAAGTCTCCTGGTTTATAACATTTGAAATGCCGCCTAACCTCTTTGTTTACTAAAAAAAATATTTGGATTGATCTTTAACTTGTATTCCGTACAGAAAGAAGAAATAGCGAAGCAGTTTATGCTGCCAGAGAGGAAAAGCAAAATTGCAACATTATTGAAACAGGATGGTCAAGCATATTGTATTTGTAGAAGCTCCGACAGTTCTCGCTTTATGATGTGAGTATAATTATTCAGAGAAATCAATGCCCAGAATTATTTTTGTCTAATCTTTGCTAATTTGAGACAAAATTGTGAATCTTACATTTTTTGTTATTTCAGAGGATGTGATGCATGCGAAGAGTGGTACCATGGTGATTGCATAAACATAACCGAAAAAGAAGCAAAGCATATAAAACAATTTTTCTGTGTTGTAAGCGAGTGATTTTTATACAACCAAATTGTTTAAAGTAGCAATGAAAGGCAGCTTAATGTAAAATTATTATATTCAGCGTTGCAGAGAAGAAGATCCAACATTGATAACACGATACAAACCACGTAGGACCGATCAAGACGACAGGAAACATAAAAAATACAAAGAGAAGGAAAGAGGACATCGATACGAATATGATGCACCATGGGGTCCTAAAGTAGAAAAAAAATCCTCCAAACGATGTGGAGAGTGTACAGGATGTTTACGTACAGAAAACTGTGGAAAGTGTGACGCCTGCAGGTAACATAACAAAAGAATGATTGACAAAGTCATCATTTGTGTGAAACAGTTTTGCTTATAAAATTAATCTTTTTGGATTTCATACGTGTAGGCATCTGAAGAAATTTGGACCTTCGGTACGACTGAAGCTCAGATGTATTCAACGAACTTGCCGTGTAGTAGGCGATCCGCTAAAACCATCCAAAAGTCTCAATAAGGGAACGAAATTGACCAAGAGACGGAAGAGGGATTCGAGTAATGAGAGGAACGAGTACTTGGAGCCACCACGCCACTGTTATGGACCCACATGCATGAAGCAATCGCGACCCGGTAGCAAGTACTGCTCCGACGATTGCGGTTTGAAGCTGGCGACGAGTAGAATCTATCAGGTGCTGCCACAACGGATACAGGAATGGTCGTTGACCACATGCATTGCGGAGCAAAATAACAGACGCGCTCTGGAATCCGTGAGAAAGCAGCAGCACGACGTCCGTAGGATACTGCAAGAATTAGAAAAGAGACACGTCGAGTTAGATCGTATTGTTGAACGTGCGAAGCACGCGTCCATCGATCCACAAGCCGAGGTGGATGACAACGACGACACAGAGAGCAGCATGTACTGTATAACGTGCGGCCACGAAGTCAACTCGAGAACCGCCATTAAACATATGGAAAAATGTTTCAATAAGGTATTACAAGTTACAGAAAATTGTAACTGTCGATTACTTGACTTTATGAGTTCTTAAATGGTTCTAAAATTGAGTTCACAAATGGAAGCATTTACTTAAACTTAGAATATTATATGTATATTTATCATTTAGTTAGTGAGCCAGTCTCATTTTAGTTAATAAGTTTTATAGTTTATTCTATAGAATGAATTTCTCTTTTTTTTTCTCGAAATAAAAATGCTTATTTAGGTTGTAATTTGCAGTACGAATCGCAAGCGTCCTTTGGCTCGATTTTTAAAACACGCATCGAGGGCCAGGTGATGTTCTGCGACTTCTACAATCCTGGGAACAGGACTTACTGCAAAAGACTGCGTGTTCTCTGCCCCGAACACTGTAAGGATCCGAAAATTGGCGACGCTGAAGTATGCGGTTGTCCATTAGTCACGAATGTCTTCGATGCCACGGGCGAATTCTGTCGTGCACCTAAAAAGAGCTGCGTAAAGCACTACATGTGGGAAAAACTACGACGAGCAGAAATCGATATGGAAAGAGTGAGGCAATGGTTGAAGATCGATGAGCTCGTGGAGCAAGAGAGGCAGATCCGGTCGAATATGGCGACGCGAGCCGGTGTATTGGCACTGATGTTGCACTCCACTTATAATCACGAGCTAATGGAACAGATGACGCAGGAACAGAGTAGAGAACAACTGCAGGCGATGGAAGAAGAACTACAAAGGAGATACGGTGGGCATCAGCAGAAGGAACAGCGCATGGAGTAATAATCTTTATCATACTTAACTAATACCATTACTAGACTTGTAACTTTCAACTGCACTTACTACATTTTATTCCCTCTTTTTTTAAATATATATATATTAAGCAGGGTTGGTAAAAAACATGTTTTAAACGTGTTTTAAACAGTTTAAAACATGCTCAATTGATGTTTTTAATATGTTTTTTTTATAGTACTGTTCAAAGCATATTTGAAGCATTAAAAACATATTCAAGAAGAAACATGTTAAAAAAAAAAATTTTTTTTTTTTAAAAAAAAAAAAAAAAAAAAAAAACATTAGTCTTTACCAACCCTGATATTAAGAGATAAAAATTGTAAAAAAATGCAACTAAATTAAGTGGATCTAATGTTATTTTAACATATTGTTTTTGTTTGGAACTAATTACGCGTAGCACAGTCGCGCGCGCGCGATAGTCCTAACAAACGAATATAAATCGTGTGGACTGAGAACAAAAAATTGACAAGTCACAGAAAGTTGGTACAGTGGTTGTAAATGTGTACTATAATATAATGTGCGTATATACATATGTATATTATATTATGTACCTGTTAATGTAAAGTAGATTAAGATAATTATATCATAAGGTGAATAATAGTTCCTTTTTAAGCTCTGCCATTTTTGAAATAAATTTACATAAAACTTTCTGGTGATACGTTTTATGTCTTCGAAGAAAATATGTGAAAAAAAAAAATATTTGTTAATATTCATTCTGTTGTAACGTACTTACGCTCAGATGATGTTCGAATAATCCACGTTCTCAATTAGTCTAAAACTGAAGAATCTCCAAAAAAGTGGTATGCAACAGATGGAGAAGCAGATATTTCTTTTCGGCAATATTCGTTATTATTTACATTATAGTATATCGAGATGCAGACGTCAGGATTTTTCACACACTCCGACAATTAATCGTTTCAACAAAAACCATTTATTCACAGGTCGTAGCCTCTGCGGGTGCAAAATAACACGCCAAACTAGCGATCTATCGCTTAGCTTCGGAAAATAATCGCGCATAGAATGGACATATTTTTTATTCCTCTCAGGAGAACCGCCTGTTTCGAATCGCCTCCCCTTAAACGCGTTAAATGACGCGACGTTTGCCGAGTTCTTTGTCATCGATCGCTGGAACTATTATTAGTTATCGTCATTTTGGAAGTTTACGTAAAATGTCAAATAGACAATAAGTATCGTCCTCCGTCTATGGAACCGAGAGTGTGCTATCTCAGGACACACTTTCAATAACTAACACCGCTTTACTCACAATATATATCTATATATAACAAACACAATAATATAAACTTATGCGATGCAACAATTAGGAACAAATGTGTCAATGCGATGGCAGTACGAAGTTAATGCGTTCGGATGTCCGTACAAATTATGCGATAAACGTTAACTCTCTAATGTTTCATATATTTCTATAATAACATATCTATCAATTGTTTTTTTTTATCTTGATTTAACGTAGTCTTTACTCTTATAATTTTTAGAACTGTAGAAAAAAATAAAAAAGTAAATTACACCGAATTAATCTACACGTTGATAGAAACGTACTAACTCATGTAATCTTAAACTAATTGTTTCACGATAAAGACTGCAAGAAGCGATCACCGGATAGGCCATGATGAAATTAATCGTCGAGTTCGTAACAGACAAAATTCGAAAGTGCGTGTATCGGAAACAAATTATATGCGAATTAAACGAATGTTTGCGATTCGCTTTAAGGGACCGGGTTGAAAACAGGCGATCATATCCCGATATATATATATATAGAGATATATATATATATATACGTGCGCCGACCTCACATTGTACGTGCATGCGCTTTAAAAAGGATAAAGGACGAAGAGAAATAGAGAACGACTCATTCTTTTTTCTTTTATCACAGTATTGCACGCAAAGCTTGTACGAAATCGCAAGTAAGACAGCATAAAGGCCAAATGGCAGACACTACATGCTTTCCTCTCAGAATACATCCGGGGAGGGTCGGAATTCTTTCGCAGAGTAGCGAAAAATGTTTTTATCCACTCCCTCATTTCTCTCTCACCTTTTTCTCTCTCTCTCTCTCTCTCTCTCTCTCTCTCTCTCTCTCTCTCTCTCTCTCTCTCTCTGCCATTCTTATTCATACACACTTCAGTATTATTCTTTCACAATCCATGGCAATGACTCCAAACGACCCTTCACATTCATGGTCCATAATAGCTTTGACGTATATCCGACAAGTTAGTAACAAAATAATAATCCACACGTATACACGTGTGTTTGAGTACATCACCTGAGAATAAATCGTGATATACCTCTTCGTTTCTTTCGTAATGTAAAATCCCTTCGGATTTTTTCCCCCGTTTTCTCTCGCTCGACATTACAATTTTCCCTCTCATACGGTAGTGCCTTAACAATCTGTCGTTCAACGGAAAAATATAGCGCACGGGCGGTATTACGCTGTCTTGTCCGGGTCGACGCGGGCCGGATGGCTTTGACGTCTTAATATATTAACATCCTAATGGAACGTTAATCTCTTTACGAAAGAAGCTTCGGAAGAAAGTCGCCCCTCTCCGGATAATTCTGTGATACCACACACAAAGAGAAGAATTTCTGTACTCCTCTCGATTCTGGTAGGAAAATAAAGGGGGAAGAAGTTGAAAGCTGCAGGATCGTCGCCGTAGCCAAAATAAAGTGGATGAAGACGGGATTACGAGCGATTTTCTTCTCTCTTCGTGTAGCTTCAGCCGCGACGCGAAGGTCTCAAGAAGAGAAAAGAGGGAAATAGTCCAGCTCCGCTTCCACCCCGGAGGGGCGACGAACACACGGCTTTTTTGATTTGCCACCCCGGGACGAAGCTCTCGCCGATGCGGTACGACCCGACAAATCAGATATCACCGTACTTCACGCACGCGAAAAGGGGGAACTTTGGCAACAAACACACATTCGCATCGTTAAGGGTTTTTTTTTTGCAGCTGGACAGCACAGCCTTTCACACGCACGCACAAGATCCGCAATTCGACATGCACAGTCATCTCCCAATCTCACTCGCTCTCTCATTTGTTATCTCACTAATAATAGCGGCATTAACTGTAATCTTAATTGGATAATTCTGCCGTAGCGTTGGTAATAATCATACAATGTTATATCATACAGCGTCGTATGTACAATACGGGAGGAGAATCGTTTCGTTATCGAGTAACAAATTGTACAGCGGCGCGGGACCAGCGTCGAGGTACGTCCGATCGATTTCCCTCGATTTCCGTCGGGAGTACTTTTGCTTCTCTCTCTGCGTCCCGTCCTGGAGAAGCAGCCAGCTGTGCGTAGCTATTTCTCGAGATAGTCGCAACAATCGGCTGCTGACTCGCATTTTTATCGCGCGAGCGATTAACGACAATTGAATAGCTAGAACCGGATAAACAGCACAAAGGGAGAAGACTAACTCTTGGTACACACGATGATTTTCCGGTTCTTCATTATACATGATGGATCATTCGTGTCCGGATTAATTTTCATTAATTTAATAAATATCCATTTCTATCTTCTGTGCAGATAAACTTTAATTTCGAGTTAACTTACTTTTTATCCTTTTTTAATTCTTAAAACTAGAAAAAGATAGAGTAAGGCCCAGTTCCACAACTCACGGTTAACTCTTAACCGAGGTTCAACTTATTCATTGTCCAAACAAATTGAATTTCGGTTAATAGTTAACCATGAGTTGTGGAACTGGGCCTAAGTTGAAGAGAGAGTAAGTTAAACGAAGGTTAAAGTTAATCTACATTGAAATAGGCACAAGTGTAATTCTTATATACTTTTGATATCTTTAGAAAGTATTTGGAAAATTATAATATAATAAACATAATCAATTGATGCTAGTTTTTCGAAGAAGAGAAATGTGCAGGACACAAACGATCTAATCGTGTGTACTAAAAGTTAAAGGGAATCTCTGTGCGAAACTGGGCTAGACTCGAGACGTCTTTTGGAGCGAAGAACATGCGCTGAAACAAACTTTGCTGTAATGAATAATGATACAGATCGATGTGAAAGAAAATAAACATATTTATTTCTTCTCATAAACTTAAACTTCTTATAAACGAAAACAGTAAAGGGGAGGGGTGGTGGATAGGGGGACGTACAGGTATTCGTAGTTTTAATGTAGTTTTTCGCTTTTTCTTTCCTTTTTTATATTTTTTTTTCTTTTCTCTTTGTTTCGTGTTCGCTCGTCCTTCTCTCCTTCCTCGTCGTTTTTCTCGAGTTGCTCTCTACTCGTCGTTAACCGCCTGATCTTGATCTCGCGCGATGCAGATCAAAGAGACAAAAGTCAGTCCCGGCCGGTCCGCAACGAATTTCCGCGCGTTTTCATGTAGGTGTGTACGTCGAATGAAGAAAAAAAAAAGAACCGTTAAGTAATTCTATATACTCTACATGTGCGACATAGGTTGGCGTAGCTGCCACCCCACACTCGCTATGTACACTGTTAAATGGTCCTAATCTTCTTTTTCCTCCTTCTTTCCTTCCTTCGCTTAGTCCTGTTCCACAAGTACATTTGCACTAGTCTTCGCGAACTCTTTATCACTTAGCCATTTGAACCGGTCAACATGGCACAGGCTGAGACTGCATTCAGTTGCATTTTAAGGCGAATGGAGCACCTGACTTTGTTTCTTTTTTTTTTGTGTGTTTTTGAATTATAGTTTTTTTCGCGTGTGGAGTCGAAGTAGCTCGGAAAAAGAGAGTATTATTCGCGTGAGAGGCAACGACCAGCTGCTCGAGCGATTTTCAGTCAAAGTAACAACCGGTGTACCGCGAGATTGTTCACAGCATGTGCAGCATGTCGAGAGGTACATGGTGTGTGTATGTATATACGTGTGTAAAATAAAAATAAAAAGAGAAAATGAGATAAAAAAAGAAAAAAAGTCGTGCAGTCCAGTGTACTCTCCGTTGGAGGTAACATACACCACGGAGAGGGAAAGAATCTGGGAGGAGCACGAATAAAGAAAGATTAAAAAGAAAATTTCTCTCGGTCGAAGAAGTGAAAAGGCGGTTCTCGCGATTACACTTTTGGAATGTAACTGTTCGACATTAGCAACTGAATGTAATGTAAAAACGTGATAATTGGGACAAAAAGAAGGGAGGGATAGAGCTAAAAAGACGTCCAGACAGTTAACGTAATGTCGGAAACGCGTGTCTCCTGCGAAGTTGTTTCAAAAAGGAAAAAAAAAAAGGAAAGCGAGACACTTCGGGATACCTTGTCAAGTCTGTATTTTAGCTGCGGCTACAGTCGTACCTCTTTTTTCCGAGTTACTCTCCGATATGCGCGATAAACGCTTGCGTCGTACAATTAAATATCTCGATTTTCTCGCTTATCTCGAAAGCTGTACTTCCAGCTGGAACTATCTCCTATATACTGGACAAAAATGAAAATTATCAACGGAGTACGGCTATCTTTTTTTTCGTTTTTACACAATTTTGATATTTTCGCAAAGAAAGAACGATATATAACAAACTTTACCAATTCTAATTCATTAATTAATAATTAACTCGCGTTATAATACTACACACACTTTCATGCTTCCGTATGAAACTTATCTTGTGTTTCATTATTACCTATGAAGACGATAAGTTTCCACGATTCGCATCCCACTCATTCTATTCTTCACATAGATGTATGAGACTGCTGTACGAAGATTTTAGAACGACACGTTTTCGCGATTCTATAACAACGTTAATAATTAAATCGTTAAGATTATTAGAATGTGTTTTCGTGCCCCGACGATGGGAGACAGCGTCGTGAAACGACGAGTTGAAAGATGTAACTAAAAGTTAGTTCAAACGCAAAGGGATTATTTAATTTGAAGTATGATATCGTGGATCTACAGTGTACTCTCCTAAGGTTACAGAACTCATAAACTTACATTTAAAAACTGTATAATTACAGTAGTTAAAAGCGGCAATTATATGCATTATTTTTCTTAGGCTCAATTTTTTTTAGGCATTTACAGGCATACGAATTTAAGATACAGCTTATATATCTTTTCTTTTTATCTTCAATTTTAATTAAGTTCCACCCGTATATATATACTTCCGTATACACACACACGTTATACTACAGAGCATACATTGCTTTTACTTGCGTGTTTCATCGAAATAGTAACACGATCACATTTTCTTTTTACGCCTGTAAATTAATGCCTCGGAAAATAAAGAAAATGCAAGAGAACCTTCGCGCGTTTCAAAAATCGACGGATCGTCGTTCGTTGATAAGATACATTCGACGAAAGCTTAGGAACGTATCTCGCGTATATAGCTTTGATGAAAGTCGAGTTACATTTAATGAGCAAACGATACAAATTAAGATAGCACACACGAATTATCTTCCCGGGACAATGCCTCGCTCCGCAATCGAACAGCAATCTCACTTTTATGATCATTCGACAGTCTACACGAATTACGCACACGCCATTCACACTATTTTTATCGATCACAAGCATTTTCTTATAATTATCATTATGAATAATTATCAATTACTTTTTTTTTATTAAATAAGCAAGTCTGTGTAAAAATTTAATGTTTTTCGAATATTCAGCATTCTATCTTCACAGACATTTGACCAGACTTTGAGCTTACTTTGACATTTTCGAAACCCAGTTAGTGACCTTTTTTCCCCTTACTATTTTAAATTATCGAATGCTCCACGACTGGAAGAAGTAGCCACTCTGAGTTCTAAGTCAACCACATTATCTCAATATATTACACAACCACGCATTTACATTTTTCTGATTTACAGTCCGCACATCTTAATTTGAATTTATCGAGTAAAGTACGTTAACTGTGTATTTTGACCTCCATATTTCGACTCACCGATCATCGCTGATCTTTCATGATGATCGATTTAAGATTATAAGATCGTCCCGTCTTAAATCGTTCCATCAGTTTACGAGTTCGAAATTATCAGTTCGAAACTACTTACAGATGTTTTACAGTACTTCTCATAGATTTCTCGATGTGATTAGTGCAGGTTTCTTCGATACTTCCCCATTGATTCGCCTGAAGATTCGCAGCTCCAAAGGCACCAGGAGATACTGCTGTTGATGCTGTTCGACTTTTCCCATTTAAAACTCGCTTTATGGTAGACCTGGTTGTTACAAGTCTTTGTAGCATTATCTTTTAAGCACTCTCTTAAAATCGTACACTCATATAAACCAAGACGATCTTCCAAAATTTATAGAGATGTCTAACGTATATACACGCGTGACTTATACACTGGAAGTTCCCTTTATTCAAAGAAACAGGATCTCTCTTTTTCTCTCTTTCTCCGTCTTTTAAGAGAGATATTTTTCGACCAAAAGTTTCTAATTGTCAATACTGAAGTTCTGCGACACTGTCACAATCGTTGGAAATTTATGCAAGTACAATGTACATTGCTGGAATATATACTTTATCCTTCTATATTCTCCTGTCAACTGGTTATATATGTACATTGCTATTATTATCTCTTGAGGCACACTTTGCACCACTCGGCTCCATCAATCTTGCGCGTTTGACTCAAAGTAAGACAATCCTCTGAACGAACTTTACGTCTTAAGAGGAGCAACCGTGCACGTAACACATACAAGTACTTGGTCTCGAGTATCAACGTGATCGAGACTCATCGAACTAACTATTTGCAATGGAAGTGGTTTACCAGTACAAAAGTTACTGTCATTGTCTATTTCCTTTGACACGGCGAAAACTTTCTCACTTCACTGTCCGCTATAGAACTGTATACGACCGGTTGTCACTGGCATTTCTTTCATGACAGCATCCCATGCTATTGACAAAAAAAAGAAACAAGAGTAGAATAAGTACAAAGAATAAGCAAGAATAGAGCAATGAATACCTCAGTTAAAGATGACAAAGAAACGCTATGATGTCTTACCTAAGCCAACAAACGACACGATCTTATCATGATTGTACGTCTGCACATTCAACTCTTCCTCGGGCGCTACGTAAAGCATCGAGAAATCTTCCTTAGGCGGATGAAATTTCTCCATGATTCCGGGTGGTGGTGGAGGCGGTGGTGGCAGATATGTGGGTGGCGCAAATCTTGTGGGATAGCCCATATACGGCAACGGTTGTACCATGACTGGATGCACGGGATGAGCGTTCACCGGTGTCACGTGAGCGTTTGGTTGTTGCATGTGATAATTCGAGAACTTGTCGTATCTCACAGGTTTCTCGGTGAACAACGGCGGATTTCTCTCGAAATTGTTGGGCGGCGGTTTGTTGACGAGCGGCGGTACGGCCGGAGAAAAAACAGGATTTGCCGCGATCGTCGGGGTTTCCTCGTTGCCGTTGTCTTCCGAAAGCAACAGCTCGTTTATTTCGAAACCAAATGTGAGCTCCGTCGGCAGATTATTGTTCTTCGCGATGTCAGAGGATGTCTCGTCCAAAAGGATCACTGCGGGTCTAGGAGTCAAACTCTTTATCTGCTGCGTCTCCACGGATGGTCTTTGCGATTGATCTTTATCGGACTGCGTGTTGTGTGACTTTGTTTTCTTGTTCTCCGCCTCATCGCGTTGTTGATTGTCTTGCTTCGAGTTTTGCGATTGACAGACTCCCACTTTTGTCGTATCGTGTTTCATCGCGGTATTCTGATACTCTTTTGTGACCCTCGCTGTCCTCGAATCACCGCCGGTCATCTTGTTGCTAGATTCAGGCTCGCCGCTCTGCGAGTCCTGCATGGGTTTTGCAGTCTTCAACTTTTGCGCATCCGCGCAGTCATGTGGCACGATTATTGGATTAGCTTTGTTTTCGGACTGCGGGGTGTCGATATTATGCGATTTCTTAACTGCCTCCTCGTGATAAGAGGACGCGGGCTTTTTAATGTGTTGCTCTTCGTGCGATCCCTGAGTTTGCATATTTTGATTACTGTGTACGTAATTCCTACGAGAGCGAGGATTATTGGCTCTCGGAAGCGTAACAGAATCTTTATTGTTGACGGTACAATTAGGATTGTTATCAGTATCGACTGGATTATAATTCATCGTTGTACCATTGTTATTATATCTTGGTGTTACGGCGTTTGTCGCGATAGTCTCGTTTGAATTCGAGCTGTAATTGCTAGAAGTCACGTTCTTCTGTTCCTTCTGGTCTGTTGCTTGTGTTAGGCTTTCATGCATTTTCTCGATATCTTGCACATATTTAAAAACTTGGATGTTTTTATTGATGGCCTCTTCCTGAGCTTCGGCTTTCTTTCTATCTGACGAATTTTTCATTTTCGTCAGAGTCGGCGAAAGTGGTTTTTCAAAAGCCAGACTCAAACTAGCTGCTGCATGATTTGATTGTGTCTGTTGCTGTCTCGCTTTCCTTTCCGGATGCTGCAATTCGTCTAAACTCGGATAATAATCTTGAGGCACTTTATCCGGTTCCGAAAAAGTCTTAGGCGGAACACTGGGCCACGATGACGTATTTAGCATAGCGGACATGGTCAGATTATGTGGCATGTTGATAGTAGCCATGCGCGCTATATCCGCGTAACTTGCTTGTGGAGTCCCACCCGACGATGTTGCGACTTTAGACAAATTGTGCTTCGAGGTATTCGATGTAACCGGCAACGAATGGACTGAATCCAAATCGCTACTATCCGCCGACTTGTCGCTGCAAGAAATTACAATGTATATAAACATTAAAATCCTTGAATTAAGTGTCTAACCTAGGTCTGTCCACAATTTAATTCGCAAGCTAAACACTACCATCTCTCCATTATCTCGTTGAGCGAGATAAACAGAAAACAAAAAAAGGATAAAGAAAACAATCACTGAGTAGAACTCTAGCATTATCCTTTTTTATTTTCTATCTGTCTCACTCATCAAGATGACGGAAAGGACGAAGCATTTCACTCGCGAGTTAAATTTTGGACAAATAGTCGAATTATTTGTTTACATATAAGCAATTATTTAATTACCTCGGAGGCATACTGCTAGCCGATTTTCTTCGAAGTTCAGGAGAAAGAGGTGTCCTGTAGTCGTTAGAGAATCCTCTGGAATTTTGAAGATATGATCCCGATGTTGTTAAGTTTTGTGCCCTACTGCCACTGGAGCTTCTTCTTTGTTTTTTGCTCTTTTTCTTTTTCGTAACTACTAGAAACTCCGTCTCATGTTCCGGTTCCGGATTAATCTTTTTATTGGAATTACGACGACTCATGTAATCCTCCCCTGTATCGTTGCAATATATCGATTGACCTTCCTCTGTCCCCCAGGATCGTCTGTCGCCTCGACTATCAACTGTCGCATCTCCGGTGCTCCTTTGTTTTGGACGTCGCAGTGCTATATTTACTCCTATCGTTATAAAGACAATATATTAAGAAAGAAATATATATAAATATATAATACTTAAAGCTTTACTTAAAGCTTTATATATACATATACATAAATAAATAAATCATACCGTGTTGACTGGATACGCTGCTGGCACCACTGGAACTGGGACTCTTTTCCGTCGTGAGATCCTCTAATTTTGTCTTCGAGATTTCTTCTAAGGAATTAGACTTCTTTAACTTGGAAGGCAATTGTTCTCTTTTTGTATCCTTCTCTCTGGTTCTCGGTTTTGTGCCAGAACTAGTTTTCACTCTAACGGGATTACCAGTCTTTCCTTTTTTGCTCTTGGATTCTTTATTCTCAATGAAGTTAATTAGACTGTCGATATCCTCATTACGATGGCCTTCGACATTTTCGGCATTATAAACTTTGACATTGTGTTCCTGAGTATGTTTCCTTCTAGGCTTCTTCCGTTCACCATTATTATAGGGCTGTACAGAGTTTCCATTTTCATCTAATGATTTCTTTTCTCCCGATACGGATGGATCTTTCATCGTGATGTGCTGCGTTGTATACCTTGGACCTTCTGTGCACAAATCATATATTTTACTAATAATTTTATTAATTTTGAGACTTGAATAAAACGCAATCAAATTTTTTTAAATATTCATAGAAAAATCTTTCAAAGGTTTAATACAACAGATATCACACATAGTAATATGTATACATACAATTAAAGCATTATTTTTACCCATTGTTATATTCTGCGGTTGCCAAGTCGCCGGCATCACGGAGCATAAACTGGGTACGATTTTGCTTTGGCTAGTACTGGAACCATTTGAAGCCCCACCTATACCACATTTTACACTGCTGTGTGGAAACAATGCCCCAGTCACCTCTGTACCATTAACAGACATTTTTGATTTCTCTTGCTTATGATCACGTATAGGAAACTCTATAGTGGTGTCCACAGATGTCTGTCCTACTATATCGAAAGATGCCCGTGTGACATATTGTTGGATCGGTTTGCGCGGTTCAATAATTTTCAATTCAGTCCCTTCATCATTTTCAGTATCTAATGAGCGAGGCCTCTGAATCCCACTCGCAGTAGATCCCACATTTCTTTCACTAATAGCACCTACCTAAAATAGATAAAAAGTAGTATCACTTAAATGTTGTATATTTCACCAAAACACTTTTTATATAAAAATAGGAAATCTTCCTTGTTATTAAAATAAGTCGTTTGGTACTGATGTTAAACTATAGATCCCATATATCTGCATAAAACTATAAAAAGATACATACTACAGAATATGCAGAAAGGCTCACCATCCCTCCTCTACGAAGCTACAGATTGAGGAGAGATCAATCAGCACAAATATAATACTTTACCTCAACATCGCCCAAGTCAATGACCATGTAATCCGATTTATATTCAGGAGGTGGATTATCTGACTCTAGCATCTCATTTGTTCCAAATTTTCCTTTGCTAACTCGTTTCTCTCGTGTTTCGGATTCTGCCTCGCCTAAACTATTAGCAGTGTCTCTTTTCAGTTCCTTTTTTTCTTTCTCTTTTTCTTCTTTCTTTGTACTAGTATATGATGGTTTATCTAAAGACTTGGATTTTTCCTTATTGGTCCAGTCATAAGCTGGCCGTTCCTCACAGAAGCTCTTCTTTACAAACAGATAAGAAAATATGTTGTTTATATACGTAAATTTTTACTGTTACAATCTCATAATCATGAAAAATATCTTTTAAATAAATATTAGATATAATTTATTAACCGCTAGTAAAACATTTATATTTATGAATATCATTAAGTTCATATTAATATTCAATAATAAATACCTTTTTATCAAATATTAGATCTAAATTAGCCAAAGAAGCAAGGTTATGCGATGCATTTACATTTGACGGTAACGATCCACCTTCTCTCTGTCTAGCAGAGACACTGGGTCCCGGGTTTTGCCTTTTGTTCTTACTCCTATCCTTTCCGAAAGGATTAGACGGACTGGATGAATAAGCAATATTGTCAAAGTCCGAACGTGTTAACTCTTGAAATGATCTGACATGTGTCAAACCTGTCTCGGACGCATAATACTCCCGTTTATGTCTTTTACGATTTGAGCCCGAAAAACAGCGCGAATTAGATACCACTCTACGGCCTTCCTCAGTCTCATCCGCTTCTGCTTCTAACAAAAGTTCCTATAAAATACATCACTTTATATACATCTTACTCTCAATGTATAGCATTTTTATATGTAGCTTTCACAAAGTAATTTCAAAGTACATACTTTAAAAATTTTAGACTTTCCTTCTCGATCTTTTGGACACTTGTATGTTATAGCTTCATCCAATAAAGCGCGTAACTGTTTATCATTTAGCATAGACAGGGTTGTCGATTCTTCCTAAAAATAAAAACAAACTGAAAAATTATGTCATCTATGCAAGATTGCAGAGAGATTGCATTGTATTGATTATATTTTTGTACAATTTTCCTAACTTATCTTAGCTGTAAGTATCTTTTGAATAAAGATTAAATAAATTGATCTCTCCTAGGATCTTCTCTTATAATATTAAACATCTATGCTCTTAATAGAAAATATATTTGGTCTGTTTTCTGTTCCTGCACTAGACTGTTCTAGAACTCTCTTTCTCGCTTTAAACAAGTATCAAACGTATATTTTTCTCACTTTAAGTTCCAAAAGTGTACACTAGTTCAGCCACAGAAAACAGACCTCTGGGGCTCTATTCTTGAAAAGAAACGTATACGAAAGTCTAGGAAAATACTATAGTATACGTAACGTATACTGTAGCATTTCCCTAGTACTACTCCCTACTTTCGTATACGTTTCTTTTCAAGAATAGAGCCCCTGGTAACAAATATATACGTCACAATGATAAAAGTTTTGAGATAGGAGTCGTATGCAAGTTGAATAGTAATAGATGTATTGGCAGATAGAGAATTTAAGGTTTCTCTTATTGGATCTGTGTGTAAGGCTTACAACAACCACATTGTGAAGCATAAGATATATATATATGTATATATATACATATTTTACACACACACACACACATATTATCACAAATTGCTCATCCTAAAATTCTAGAACTTTTCCCTAATTTCCAAACAAAATTTCATAACTTTGTGCAACACTTTTAACATTTTGAATTTCTTTGTATTTGTTCTAATTTGGAAAACATCGAATATTTTGTTGAGAGAGCAATTTAACATAATGCAAATTACTATTAATGTTGCTGACACTGCTTGCATAAATACTTGTCAAGTAAGTGGTATTCCAAAACTGCATAGATATGATATATACGCATACTGAACTTCTTTTAAAGCCAAGAATTTTAATTTTCTCGCAAATTCCGATCTTTCCCTAATTTCCCCAACCGTTTTCAACTTTCCGACGTTTTCCTGATTCTCAGTTTTGCACCCTATATATATTTCTTACACACACATGCATATATGCATAGTGTTTACTGTTTCTAAAACGCTAGGTAAACATTCAATCTCAAGTAATTCAGTCTACTTTGCATCTTAAGACCCCTCCTCCCCATTAATATGCCGACATAACCAAATCAGCTTGCATGTAAGCAGACGAAATGGATTTCGTATGCGACACACACAGCTGCGTATGCGGCAATATAAAAAGTAAAATATGTCGAGATACCGCGCCACCACGTTATCGTCACGTTAACGAAAAAATCCAGATTTTATCCAACGTGGTTACATACCGGGTGCGAGAAAGCGGACGCATTCTCGGAAGCTCTGAGACGTCGAATTGCGTTTTTTCTTCACGTAGACGAAATTCGATTAAAAAAAAGTGTTCGTAAAAAAAAAGGGAGACGAACGAATAACGTGGGTAGATGAAAAAATTCGAGAACGCTCGCGGGACGTGGGGCGAGACGGGACGACGATTGTTACGAGGGAGGTGAGGGGAGATCTCAGGATAACGATACAACGTTGGTTCGGCGAACTCGCGAACGTTCAATGACATGACGAGAATCGTCACGGAGTCCCAATTTCTTATACGGGGTGTCGCGAGCGTAAGAGCGACGAGGACGGTGAACGATCGACGGACGGATTTACGTAGCGAATCGGCGATCGCAGTCGTATGGACGTGGCGGAAACCGCGGAGTCCGATCCGTGGGCCATTTGTGAGATCGATAACGCTCCAGTGATTAGCTAATTAAGATGTGAACTCCGAGAAACGGGGAGAGAGAGAGAGAGAGAGAGAGAGAGAGAGAGGAGAGAGAGAGAGAGACAGAGACAGAGCGATATCTGAGTAACTTACGACGGAAGATAGTGGAGGAAAAAATCCACTGTGCAACGCCGGCACGGAATTAGTATTTTTAGAGGACACACGGACGGCCGGGCCTCACTCGCTCGCTTCGAGATCGCACTTCGCGGTCGACTCAATCGACTTCACGGTTGCACAGTGCACTGCCGCTTTTCTTTCAACACACGAGCGAACGAACGTCGCGCATCCCGGGGGCCCGTGGACGGTGCTGCCGGGCTAAGCGCACGGACGGCGTCCTCGCCTTTCACGGAGGTACGGTAACGACAACAACAACAACGACGTCGTCTTTGTCGGCGTCGTCGTCGTCGGTAGATATAACGAGTCCCGGTTTTTGAAAGCTACTGCGACGAGCGGGCGCGGCGCGCTCTTCCCAGCATGGCCGCCGCCATTACACTGAAAGCACGACCAGCCCAGGGGCGTACGAAGGCCGGAAGGCGCCACGCGGCTTCCCAGAAATAGCTCTCGTTCCGCTCCTTTTCGTTTCTCTCTCTCCCTCTCCCTCCCCCTCTCTCTCTCTCTCCCTTTCTTCTGCCGACAATTTTGTGAGTGAAAACGGAGTGGAAACAAAGAAACAGAAAAAAGCACGCGTTTCATCTTGATTTTCAACGCGAGAGGGTCGATTGTAGATCTGTTTTCCGTAGCTGAACTAGTATACACTTTTAGAACTTAAGCCTGTGACACACAATTCTTGTTTTCCTGCTGAAATATGCTTGCGTTTTTGTAAATTATAACTGAAATTGCACCACACAAAACGTAAGGTCTGTTTGGATTACTTGTACGTTTTGTACTCAGCATCTTCAATTTCTTTCTTTTCAACGTATATTTATCTCTTAAGTGCAAAAAGTTGTGAGGATTTTAAGTAACGCGAACAGACCTGTAGAATTTTTAATAATCTACCAAAACACAAGTAATCTAGCAGGAAAACATACATCTTGTGCCGCAGGCTTTAAAGTGAAATAGATATATTTTTGGTATATGGTGAAAACGAGAAAGAAAGTTCTAATGCATGAATAAAAAATAGATCTGGGCATCTATTATAAAACAAGTCGAAATGGATTCTGATCGAATTATTTCGTTTTCCCTAGAAAACACAATAGAAATCTAAGGAATAATTGAATAATTTCGATCGGAATCCATTCCAAATAATTCCACAATATGTGTGAAAAATCTCAAAACGAGATGAAAATGACAAAACTGAGCAGATTCTGCAGGTAATGATTGCAGGGTTGCAACAGAAAATAAATTTTAAAATTCCCTTTTCTAGATTTTCCATGACCAATTTCAATTTCTCTGACTTTTCCCAGTTTTCCAAGTCTGTGGCAACCCTGATTCAGCAGAAAAAACAGCTTTGCAATTGTGTGATGCAAGATTCTCTTTAATTCACATATTTAGATCCAGTAAGGAACCAAAGGCAAAACCAATCATATTGCAAAATTTTACAACAGTCACAAAGCTGCTTTTTCTATTAAAGTGAAGAGATCTCTTTTCTGTAGCAGAAATGATATACACTTTTAGAACTTAAAGTGGAATACAGTGAATGCAAAAAGTATTCGTACAGAGAAAATATTTTTTTTAAATAACTTAATTTTTTAAAATTAAATATTATCCATCGAGAAATGAGTCATTGAATTGATGTCGAATCGATATCGATATGATGATTTCAACACTAAGGCCCTACGTACAATGGAAGAAATATTAGGAACAGGAATAGATATTAAGATTTCAACCTATCAGAAACCGTGTATACCGGTGTAACTAGAGCACTAGAAACGTAGGTATTCGCATCCACCATTTTTACTCCTATTTTGTGACGGGTTATGATTTGTATTTGCTGCTTGAAATTTTGTAGCTCCTTTCATTGCTACAAGGAATTAGCTTGTTTTCAATAGCTTAGAAGCTATAACAACCGTAACGACGATAATCTTCTCAACTCAGTAGGAACAGGAGTAAAAATAGCGGATATGGGAATACTCACGTTTATAGTGCCTTAGTGTAACTGGTATCTGATAGGTTAAAATCTTAATATCTATTCCTGTTCCTAATATTTCTTCCATTGTGCGTAGGGCCTAATTCGATGTCGATTCGACGTTTAATTGACCATCTCATTTCTTGCTGAGTAATTAACAATTTATTCATAAAGAATAAAACAGACTGTATGTTTCTTAAAATTATATATATCAAAAAGATGTGTATTAATTCTAGAAAATATATCATCTGAAAAATAAGCGAAAATTAAAAATTCTATTATTTGAATACTTAAGGGACTCCGCACAATAAGAGCAACAGGGAACAGAGAACAGAGAATAAGGATTTCAACCAATCATGTATTTCACAATACATGATTTCTGATAGGTTGAAATTCTTATTCTCTGTTCTCTGTTCTCTGTTCCTTTTATTCTGCGGAGACCCGTAGGGCCTGCGCACAATAGAGGAACAAGAATTAGATATTAAGATTTCAACTTATCGGAAACCGTGTATTCCGATGTAATCAGTTTCTGATAGGTTGAAATCTTAATATCTAATTCCTATTCCTCTATTGTGCTCAGGCCCTTACCCTCAGATCTGTTTTTTGTGGCTGAACTAGTGTACACTTTTGGAACTTAAAGTGAGATAGATATACGTTTGATGTTTGTTTAAAGTGAGAAAGAGAGGTCTAGAATAGTCTAGTGCAGGAACAGAAAACAGACCACTTGTCTCTATGTACTAACCAATAATTTCAATAACTGGGGTATCCGGATACCCACGCAGGAATTTTTCTATGTGAATGTAGGATAGGGTTGTTATGGCCTCCCCATCCCTTCTCTTGTGCATAGAAACAAGTTTGGACGTGTATAGCTCAGTTTCAAAAGTACGAAATGGGTACCCGGTTATAGAGACCACGGTTAAAAAGTATTCGTACAATCGGAAATTTACCTTCTGAAATCAGAAATACATGCAAAGCATGTATGTTAGAACAGAATATATTCATTCTATAAAATTGCTAATTAATGTTTATTTTTTACAAATAAGACTTTTTATAAAAAATTTCCTTGTACAAATACTTTTTGCTCTCACTGTAGATACACGTTTAATATTTGGAAAAAGCGAAGAAGAAAGTT